AGAGAGAGAGAGAGAGAGAGAGAGAGAGAGAGAGAGAGAGAGAGAGAGAGAGAGAGAGAGGAGCGGACAGGTTTTGTGGCGGGAGTGGAGAAATTGAGGGGGGTGTTGGGCGCGGTGTAAGGGTTAGTGGCTGGTTGCTGACGTGGTGAGTCCTGATTGGTTTTTCTTTGCCATTTTCTTTCTGGAAGACGGGGTGGGTGCTGTATGGGATGGGGAGAGGGAGGTGTGCGGCTTGATAGATCTGGATCTCAAGTCGGGATCTCGCCAAGTAAGGAAGGATGCCTCGCCCTCCATCCGATCGTGCGTTGGTCAGCATTCTGCTGGAACGATTTGCGCCCTTGGCTCGCAAACGAATAGAGAATGCTCACTCCCAGGGCCCTGCCGTGAGGGACGGGAGTTTGAGAGGCCCTGCGGATGCATACGAGCAAGTGATAGATTCCCTTGCCATTGTCGCTAAGCACACTCCTGTCCCGCTTCTCGAGGCGATCTTCACGTGGAGAGATGGGGAGAGGGAGAGGAAGGACCTTGACAGCCAACTGATGTTGTCTGTTGAGTGTATATTCTGTTCCGCGGTGATACGTGTCGTTAAGAGCTGCCACGATGGAGACTCCGTGGACGATTCTATTTGGACCCAGTTGGAAAGTTTCTGCTTTGAATCTCTCATCAACCTGGACCGGGTGTTAAGTCAAGTGGAGAACCCAAGCTCTGGGCCGCAGCGCGGCTATGTATTGGATCTGCTTGCTCAGCTCATTGGCGCGATGTCCGTTTGGAGGTTCTCTACGCTGATGAAGCGGTTCTTCTTTGAGCTGGACAGACGGAAGGCTGATGCTAGCGGCCAACGTGCGGAAGCTCTTGCAATCATCTCGGGAATGCGGTACTTTCAGCTTGGAACATCGACGCCAGCAGCTCTCCGTCTGTCAGCACAGTTCCTCATTGACGCCAATCCTCTTGCGAGGGTGCCAGCGAAGAAGAAGACAGAGTTGCAGCATGCAATGTGCGACATGCTGGCCAGTATTCTCTTTCAGTGTGCGGAGAACCTGAAGGGGAAATGGCCGCCCAAAGGTCAGGACGAGGCACTTGCGATATGGTACAGACGCGTTGAGACTGTACGGAATCACATAAGCCAGTGGATGGAGAAACACAGCAAGCATTACCAGGTAGCATATCCATTGATAACAGTACTGCTGTGTGTGGGTGAACCGGATCTGTTCTTGAGGACGATGGGAGTGTACCTGGAAACGTTGTACAAGCTGTTCAGGGAAAAAAACTACAGGTCCATGGCGTTGGACTGTATGCACTGGTTGTTGCGATTCTACCTTTCGGTTCATGCCAGCGGTCAACCCTACCATATGACATCCTTGTACCTCCAAGAGATTGTGCAGCAGTTGCTGTCCAGTCTGAAAGGTGGGCGTCTAACGTTGGAATCGCAGCATGACAAAGTGGTGCAGTTCTGCATAACTGTTGCAGAAATAGACATAGATTTCGCTGTGAATCACATGATCCTGGACTTGCTGCGTATGGAAAGCCTAGGGGAGCCTAAGGTTATCGGGCTGAGGGCACTGATTGCGGTCTTGCAGACAGTTGGAATAGGAGGAGGAGGAGGAGGAGGAGGAGGAGGAGGAGGAGGAGGAGGAGGAGTATCAGTGTATTCACGCTCTTCGCATGCACGATGGGGATCTTCATGGGGGGGAGGGGATTATCATGCAGAGAGGGGGGGTGCAATGGGTTTCAGGGCGTCTTATGGTGGTGGTGGTCCTGGCTCCTCACAGGATGACAGCAAGAGGCTTTCTCTGTCGGACTCCCCTCGTGCGGCATTGCCTTCAGCTTCACTCCCTGCCCTTCCCAGTGGATTATGCTCCTATTTGAATCTCAATCATGGCGGACTGCAGCCTTATCTGCCCAAGATTCGAAATCAGCTAACAATCATTTTCAAGCAATGTCATGCTACGTTCAGCAAGGCCCTTCTCATCTCCTCCAAGGTGATCAATGAGACGATACCCAAGGAGAAACAGACAGGATGGCTGGTCTTTAGATGGACCTTGAAATGCGTGCCCCATTTGCTTGACCCGAGCACAGACAGAAAGATGATGGACTATATCCCGACCTATGGACTTTGCATCGATCCCGGTGTGCGAGAAGAGGCAATTCAAGTTCTATTTCGGACGGTACGGCATCTCCCACACAGTCGTTTTGCAGTTATGAGAGGCATGGCCAACTTCATCTTGCGAATACCGGATGACCTTGTCATGCTGATCAACGTGTCACTGAGCCGACTTGTTCAGCTGATGAATGAATGGAGGATTTGCTTAGCGCAAGAGACTGCTATGCAAGAGATGGCTAGCGATTCAAGTCCTTGGAGTGCAAGCAGTGGGGGGGGGGGGGGGGGGGGTGCTGGTGCTGCAGCTGCTGTGCAGTCCTACTCCCTTGCACTTGACCGTGAGATGTGTGGGCCCCCTGTGAATGGGTATGAGGAGGGTGGAGGCCTCTTCGACCCCTCAGGGATCGACGCAGTGGGCTTGATCTTCCTCTGCTCGAAAGATGTCCAGATTCGACGAATTGCGATCGAACTCCTCAGCAGTGTGCGTGCGCTGCAGTATGACTTGTCCGTTGCTCTCGGACACGTCAGAACAAGCCCGGAGTCTGGGCAGACGTTTGTGATTGATGTTTTTGAGGAAGCTGGGGAGGATATAGTGCAGCGATGTTATTGGGACATTGGGCGATGGAGTGAGCTTCGCAGAGAGCATGAGCCGATCCCAGGGAACGTGAATCTTATGTCGGTGCTTGAAGACGTCGACCGTCTGCGATGGGCCAGGTGTCTAAACGAGCTCGTGAAGTGCGTCGCCGAACTTTGCCCGGACACTGTGCAAGGGGCAAGGTTTGAAGTCCAAGCACGACTTTCTGCCATGGTGCATGCTCAGGACGGAAGCTCACGACTTGGCCAGGGAGCTGACAGTGACAAGCTGGACCAGTGGCACATCTACTGCATGTTCGCGTGGGGTTGTCCCATGGAAGATGGCCGCGATCTGCTAAGGCTCACACTGTCCACTGTGAAGACGGGGGCAGACATCTTTCTGCAGTATTCTGCAGCGGTGGCGCTCGGGCGCACGCATCATAACATGTATGAGTCAATGTTGACCGAAGTCAACACGTACGTCGAGGAGGTCAGCAAGGAGGCAGCTGATCGGCCCAAATGGAAGAGCCAGAAGCTGCGGCGCGAAGACTGGAAGTCGTTTGTTGCACAGGTTTACCGTATGGCCTCGGAGAGCATTTGGCCCGGCATGCTGGGGAAAAAGAGGGTGTTGCGAACTCTTTTTCTGAAGTTTATACATGACTGTGTGCGGTACATTTCGACGAGTACGGTGGATATGTTTTACGACGTTCAGGCGGTTCGTTACGCGCTTGCGTCAGTCCTGCGCGCCCTGTCGGTGGACCTGTCAAAGTATTTACCCGACAAGTTTGACACAGTCCTGAGGAAGCAGCTTTTTGAGCTGATGTGGTCCTGGTGCGATGATGCAAACCACGACCACGGTGGGAGCGAATACCGAAAGGAACTCGAGCGGTATAAGGCAGCTCAGGCAATGCGGCTGAAAGACCAGGGCGAAAGACATGCGATAGAACGGGAGTTGAACGACCAGGTGGAGTGCATCCATTGGGCTGCATTGCATGCCATGGCGGCGCTGCTGGCCGGACCTTGCTTTGACGATGGCGCTCGGAAGATGAGTGGCAAGGTCATGGGTTGGATAAATGGTCTTTTCATGGGAACAACCGAGAGGGTCCCGATCGGGTTTCCACCCCCCGATGCCCACATGCCGTCCCCGCATGCGCGAGGAGGACTGAGTGGGAATCTTGAGCACTCGCACAGGAGCCTCATGGGCAGAGAAACCAAGCGACCGGGCCCGGTGAGGCTGCTGCTTGCCAAAACAGCCCTTCTCAACCTGTTGTTAACTAACAGCGATCTTTTCAATCCGTGCATCAACCAGTGCTACTCCTCCGATCCTTCCATCGCAGACGGGTATTTCTCCGTTCTCGCGGAGGTGTACATGCGCCAGGACGTTCCCGACTCAGAAATTGCTGTGATTCTGAGCTTGATACTCTACAAGGTTGTTGATCCTTCAAAGCAAATCCGCGACGACGCTCTGCAGATGTTGGAGGCGCTTTCCGAGCGAAAATGGTCCTCGGAAGGTGAAAGTGGGTGTGGATCAGATCGGTACCGGGCTGCAGTGGTCGGAAGCCTGCCGGATTCGTACCAGCAGTTCCAGTATCAACTGTCGGCGACGCTAGCAAGAGAGCATCAAGAACTAAGTGTGTTCCTCTGTGAGGAGATCATGCAAAGGCAGCTTGATGCAGTGGACATTATAGCGCAGCACCAGGTGCTTACTTGCATGGCTCCTTGGATAGAGAACCTGAACTTTGTGGCGTTATGGTCATCGGGATGGAGCGAGAGGCTGTTGAAGAGCTTGTACTATGTGACATGGAAACATGGCGATCAGTTTCCAGACGAGATAGAGAAGCAGTGGAGCACGGTGGCAGCGAAATGGAGGAACATAATTCCTGTTCTCGACTTCTTAATCACAAAGGGCATTAACGAGTTTGACTCGAACGCGTTAGGTGAAATCAATGGTGGGGCATTTTCAACATACTTGTCGATTGCAAAGCGCATTTGTTTGTATCTGGCACGGATTTCTCCGCAACAGACGATAGATCATCTGATGTATCAGGTGGCCAATCGTAAGCTTGAGGACAGGCCAGATATCGTGACGCGGCGGTCATTTGAGGTGGAGGAGGAGGACCCCATACTGTTTTCGCAAGGGCATCCACAAATGGACTTTCCCAGCCTGCCTCAGTCCTCACCCATGTATAGGGGGGGATCATTTGATGGGATCTCGCGGACCAGTGGTCTGGGAGGAAACAATTGGCGAACGTCTGCGAGTCGTGGGTTTTCAGGTCTCTTGAATGGTGGTATGGCATCGGTGCGGAGCTCCAGCGGTAGTCTCCGGGCGCACCACATCTCAAGGGACAGTGGGGATCTGAATATGGACACTCCTCGATCGACGGATGATTTACAAGGAGTGGGAACTCCTATGGGTAGCCAAACTGGATATATAGGCATGACGGGTCCGCTGCATGCTGGGTTTCCAGACCAGCATCACTGGCTTTCTAGGGCAGACATAGCTCTTATTCTACTCACAGAGATTGCCTACGAGAATGACGAAGACTTTCGAGGGCATCTTCCCTTGCTTTTCCACGTCATGTTTGTGTTGATGGACAGCTCAGAGGATATAGTGTTGGAACACTGCCAGCAACTCCTAGTGAATTTGCTGTATTCGCTTGCTGGGCGGCACCTGGAGCTATACGATGCTGCTGCATCTGTCGAGCATGGAGATGGCGAATACAAGCACCAAGTCGTAAGCCTGATAAAGTACCTGCAGTCGAGGAAAGGGACAATGATGTGGGAGAACGAAGACATGACGCTGCCTCGGCTCACCTTGACAAGTGCAACTCTGCTCGGCTCGTTGGTTTCTAGTGTTGTGGATGCAATATTCTTTCAGGGTGACCTGCGTGAGCGTTGGGGCGACGAGGCCTTGAGATGGGCGATGGAGTGTACGTCACGCCACTTGGCATGTCGGTCGCACCAGATCTACCGTGCCCTTCATCCGCCAGTCACGAGCGATACATGCGTTTTACTGCTACGATGCGTACACCGTTGTTTGCAGAATCCGACACCACCAATTTTAGGGTTTGTTGTGGAGACTCTGCTCACATTGCAAGTAGTCGTCGAAGCAATGGAGCCGGAGAAAGTTATCCTGTATCCGCAGATGTTCTGGGGCTGTGTTGCCATGCTCCACACGGACTACGTGGATGTGTACACACAGGTGCTCGAGCTTTTTGCACGTGTGATAGATCGTCTCGCCTTCAACGATTACACGGCAGAAAATGTCCTTTTGTCGAATGTGCCGAAAGAGTACGTGAGTCCGGATCAAGACAGAGGGAGGAGTGAGGTTGACCACAGGATCAGGACCATGATGGGGGACGTGATGCCGGCTAAGAGAGTAGCAGAGGAAGCCAACGAGGGTGAGCGAGTAACTGACGACGAGGGTACCGCCCATCATGCTCTTGGGTTGCGGTATGTTGCCTTTGAAGGAGTTCAGGCGCTCGTTCTGAAGGGCCTGTTGTCCACTTCCAGTCACTGGGCGGCAGTTGAAGTCCTCTCTCGAATAGCGCTGCTATCGTGCGATAAGATATTTGGCAGCTCGGAGACCCGGTTGCTGATGCACATGGTGGGTCTGCTTCCATGGTTGTGTGTGCAGCTGCAAAGTCCAACATTGATACTGACAAGATCTTGCAGTAGCAGTAGCAGTATATCTACTGCCGCAGCAGGGACGGCAGGGTGGGGGGGTTCTTACCAGCAGCTCAGGATTCGTCAGCAGCAGAGTAAGGCAAGGTCAGTTGCAGGCAACATCTCACAAATCTGTGCCGATCGCAGCCTGGAAGACCTCGCAATTACTTTTGCTATGTATGCTGACGGAGCGATTGGCTCGGTAGAGGAGATGCTGGACAGGGTGGCGCCGGCCATCTGCAAGGAGTGGTTTCCTCAACAAGCCTCGTTGGCTTTTTCCTACCTTATGAGGCTTCTGGAGAAAGGTCCCACCGAATTCCGCGAAATTGCGCTGCTAATGATCCATGCATTGCTGGTGAACTCAGAAGGGGATGTGGTCATGGGCCCTCAGCTGGCTATCTCGGTTGCGCAGCTGGTGCAGGGCCCTCTGTGCAGAGAAGCTGTGCTAGTTTTAGACGCTCTGCTGGACTGCCGCGCTGTGCATGGGTTGGCAGACAGCAACAGGGAGGACAAAGGCGCTCGTACCCAACGGGTTGGAAGGTCAAATGGAGTTCTGGGTGGGGGCAGCGGGTGGATGGGCTGGGCTGCAGCAGGGGAAGTCGAGGAGGAAGCTCCAGAAACAGCGAATGACCCCGGTGCCGAATTTCGAAATGAGATTAGCTTCCTCTCACTTCCATCGCGAGAGGAATCGCAAGAGCAGGTTCTCCTGATGCTTGGGAAAGTCCTTGAGACATATGGTCCTGGGAAAAAACGGGACAATAGACGATTGGTGCCGTTTGCGGCACCAACTTTTGGTGGCCCTTTGGGAAGGGAAGAGTCCAAAAAAGGGAAGAGCGAGAATGTTGAAGACGAACACTGAATGAACATCATAAGCTGCCCACCGCTTGCATGCTACTGGGTTGATTCCAACAGGCAGCATGCAGGCCGGGATGTGGTGGTTGGAGCCAGCGATTCTCTTCTCTTTTTGACGAGAATCCATGTTGACTCCCTTGGTATTGTTTCCGACCCACCCCGCAACTCTTGCCAGCCAGTCTTGGACCACCTGTGTGTGTTCCATTCACTGTGAATCTCCCTAGCAAGACAGCTTCCTGTCCTCTGATAAGCATGGGAAAGCAGTCCGAGGCGGCGATTCCTAAGGTGCAGGCCTCCCCTTCCACACCGTTGATGTAAAGCAGCACGGCGAGCGGAAAGGTTGGCGACGAAGCCAGGGATGCCATTTTGCGAGCTGTCTGGGGGCATACCCTTTGCACCCGTCGTGTTGCAAGTTTGCAGAAGGTCGTAAACATGGGGGGGGGTCGTCAATGGTAACGCGAAGAGGAAGAGCTGGATCACAGTGTCAGTGACTGGATGCAGTTGCAGTCCTCTGGTAGGCATGGGAAAGCAGTCCGAGGCGGTGATTCCTAAGGTGCAGGCCTCCCCTTCCACACCATTGATGTGAAGCAGCACAGTGAGCGGAAAGGTTGGCCACGAAGCCAGAGCAGGCATTTTGCGAGCTGTGCGGTGCACACACCCTTTGCACCCACCTTGTTGCAAGTTTGCGGGAGGTCGTAAACATGGGGGGGTTGTCAGTGGTAATGCCAAGGGGAAGAGCTGGATTACAGTGTCAGTGACTGGATGCAGCTCCCATATGTGAAACCCTGCTGAGGTTCTCTGCATGGGAGGAAGGTTGACAGCAGGCAAGTGCTTCTGTAAAAGGGGGGAAAGTCTGAGAAATGTGTTACAGTACTTGAAATGGAGGCGTAGTAGTTTGGCACAATGGTCGACGTGTTGATAGGACGCAATTTGACGTAGAGGACAACAAGAAACATGGGAAGCACAGATCGAATCTGTGGGGGAATGTAAGGGCTGACGTGTTGATAGGATGCAAAGCGATGTAGAGGGCAACAAGAAATGTGGGAACCACAGATCGAATCTGTATCTGCGGAGGAATGTAGGGGCTGTCGGCATGCGGTTCGACAAGGAGGAGGGCCTGATGAGTATCGTGTTGGCGTGAGTTTGGACAAGGAGAAAGTCCGACGGACGTGTTAACGGAACTTGAATGGAGGCGTAGTAGTTTGACACAACGTTTGATTTGTTGGTTAAGACACAAAGAGATGTACTGGACAACAAAAAGGTGGGAAGCGCAGATCGAATCTGTGGAGGAATGTAGGGTTGAGATGGGATCGAGGGGCTGTGGGGGTGTGATTGGATAAGGAGGAAGGCCTGATGAGGATCGTGTCGGCATGTGGTTGGACGAGGAGGAAGTCCGAGAAACGTGTTACAGAACTCGAATGGAGGCGCAGTTTGACGCAATGTTTGATGTTTTGGTAAGACGCAGAAAGATGTAGAGGACAAGACGCGTGGGAAGCACAGATCAAATCTGTGGAGGAATGTAAGGGTTGAGATGGGTTGAGGGGCTGTTGGCGTGTGGTTGGACGAGGAGAGTCTGAGAGACGTGTTACAGAAGTTGAAGGGAGGCGTAGTAGTTTGCGCAATTTGCACAACGTTTGATGTTGGTAAGAGATGCAATGGGATGTAGAGGACAAGAACGCGGGAAGCACAGATCGAATCTGTGTAGGAAAGGAGCGTTGGGATGGGTTGAAGCGCTGTGGCAGTGGGCAGGTGATTGGACGAGGAGAAAGTATGAGAAGAGTGTTACAGAACTTGAATGCAGGCATAGTAATTTCACACAATGTTCGATGTGCCGGTGAGACAGAAAGAGACGTAGAGGACAAGGACATGGGAATCACAGGAGAATCAAATCTGTCGAGGAAAGTAGGGTCGAGGTGCGTCGAGGAGGGCCTGCGGGCATGTGGTTGGACGAGGAGAAAGTGTGAGGAGCGTGTTACAGAACTTGAATGCAGGCATAGTAATTTCGCACAATATTCGATGTGTGGGTAAGACGGAAAGAGACGTACAGTACAAGAACGTGGGAATCACAGGAGATCGGATCTGTTGAGGAAAGTTAGGGTCAAGATGCGAGTCGAGGAGGGGCTGTGGGCATGTGGTTGGACGAACAGGGAGGCCTTATGAGCGAGCATGCATTTAGCGGGGAAGGGCTTTTTTGGTATGTGGGAAGAAGAGAGAGTCTGGAGGGCGAGGCAGACAATGTCGGCATTTGAGACTTGGCTGACTTCAGCGAGAGAAGCATTTAGTGTACTGATCAGGATGTGTGGAAGCTTGGGATAGTGTAGGATATGGTCCCATCGTTAACCCTCCCACGCGCCCCTGGCCAGTGTTCACACTTCTTTGAAGCTTATATGTTTTGAAAGATGATCTGAAAGTTTTGACTTCCTTTTGTGAAGTTATCACTTCGCTTCCAAGTGGCCCTTGTATAGGATGCACACCCGTTTCGGTCATTGTCCCCATTTCGCTTCATCCTGTACTGGAGGCAATGAATCTGGATGAAATCAATCCCCACTGCAGCATACAAGGCTTGGAAAAGAGGTTTGACAGTTAGCTCCCTCCTCAGCTTTATATGCTCGCTGTGCAGCTTCATAACTTCATAACTTGAAAGCTGCAGTATATGTACGTCTTGTCACTCTAGTCAGCCTTCATAGATGAAAGCTGTGTATAGCGTGCTTGTACAGCTCTGCTGCTGTCTTTAATCGAACTGCCGTGCAACGGATCGGTATGGGCCCGACGTGCAGAACGGGCCCGATGAGGACTTAGTTTTTTTTTTGCTGCCTTTCAATCAACCGTGGTGGCCACGTGGAGGCAGATGAGGCGGTGTGTACTTTCTCCATTGTGGGATTCCTTAATCTGCTCTTCT